AGAGAGAGAGAGAGAGAGAGAGAGAGAGAGAGAGAGAGAACAATTAATTTGTCATGCCCTTCTAGTGGATGAAAATAGTAAAAATCTAGCTGCTTGGTTTCTAGTTTTAGTCACTTGAAACTGGGGAGTTACAAACACACACATTTTGTCAAATATGTAACATCCCACCAAGCACAGCCACTCACTTATGCTCCTCAACAGGCACCACGCCCCACATGTCCAGGCCATCCTCCGTCAGGGTGCCAGTCTGAAAAGACAGAAAAAGAAACAAGTTGAAACAAGTTGACTGGAGAAAGGAGGAAAGTTGACAGAACAACAAAACACAAATTAAAAAAAAAAACAAAAAAAAACCTGAATATAAAATCAACTGAAGGAATTGCAGTATTAGTTTCTGATTTTAAGAAAGCCAGTTATTTTTTAGTTTTAGTTTTAGTAGAGGTTTTACGGCGCTCGCAAACCGCATAAGGTCATACGAGCGCCAGAAGTGTTACAAGAGAGTAACCAACATAAAAAAAGAAGAAGGGGAGATAAGGACGATAGATGTTTCATCGGACAGAAGAAGCAAACCACGCTAGAACACCCGTCAACAACCCACGCCTGTTATTTTGAAAAGAAATGAAAAGACTTACTAGCAAAAAAGGTCTTGCATCTTGAGAACAGCACATAAATAATAGAAAACCCCGTAGAAATAGTAAACAATATTTCTGAAAAAATAAGGATTTGGCTTTATAATAAAACAATATATAAGGAAAAAGAAAACCCAAGACAAATAAAGGGAAAGATAAACAACAAAAGGACCTTTTATGACACCTACCATCATCACCATCATCATCACCAATGCCTTTTTTAACCCTGGATCACGAACACAACACTTTCTTTCCAATTTTCTTTATCCAGGGCTAACCTCTTGATATTTAATTTTTCCATATTTTCATGACACCATCTGACCACCCATAAATACTGAGAGATAAGAGAGTTTAGCGAGAAACACTTTCTACACACACAGACCTTGTCGAAACAGAAGACGTTGATCCGGCCACAGAAGTTGATGCGCGGGGGGCTGATGCAGAAGATGTTGGCTCGCTTCAGTCTGTTCTGAGCGTACACCGTGCCCACTGTCATGGCCGCTGGGAGAGCAGGGGGGACGACCACTGTCACAATATCCAGAACACGCAGAATTGTTCTCTGCCACGGCTCCTGAGACAAAGAACACGAAGGAAAAATGTACACGTTGAACACTGTCACTGACACAATTTAGATCATTCGGGCAGAAGTCTCTACTTCCATTCTGCTCGTTAAGACCAACCAGTTCAAAATGTAACAGAAACATATTTTACAACAGCACTTGCAACTCAGGCATACGTCAATTTTGGGGCATATGGAGTTATTGGTATCAACTTAAAGCCAGTCCATTTACCTTGGTTTTGATATAAAAAATATCCATTTATCCTGGATACAAGTCAAGATAATGGCAATGGAAGGAGACGAGGGGTCATCTGGTTTCAGTGGTAAAACTAGCGAGAAAATGGCGGTCAAAGTCGAGTTACTCCCTTAGCTTGAGAGTGCGAGAAACTGAAAATTTACATCGTTTATGCCTTTACTCTATGTTTTTCAGTACAATCCACACAGAAATGTGTTCTTTAATGGCCATTAAAGGTGTTGAGCCAAAAAAAAAAAATTTTATAAAAATTCCCAAACCTGTTGAAAAATGCCAGTTTCTTCACTTTCATTATTTTTGACGAGCGCCTAACTTCACCGTGCTACCTGACATATAAGTGCTGATGAGGTGTTACAAGAGAGTAACAAACTAAAAAAAGAAGAAGGAGAGATGAGGACAATGCCACAATGAAGCACCTAACCGCTATACCATACCACAGATACCGGTCAGCAGAGAAAGAGAAAATGGTCATTACTATCAATATTAATCGTACTTCATAAACGAAACGAAAAGTAAAAGTGAACCCGAGAAAGTCAAACAGTAAAGCAAATGGCAAATTGAAACAGACAAACTGTCGAAGATGGCCACCCATCACTGAGGAGAAAAGTGGCCGTTTTAGGCAGGGTCATTGCAGTGTAAAACATACATGAGGGAGGAAATAGACAAAGTGGCCATTTGAACAGGTGATTGTCTTCCATAGACAGGTAGCCGTTAGAGCAGGTTCAACTGTACACTCTTTCAAAAACAAGCCCATAGAGTGTGCAGTAGAGTGAGGATATGCACTATATAAATGCAGATATTAGTATTATTATTATTATTATTATTATTATTATCATTATTTTATTATTATTAGTATTATTATTATTATTATTATTATAAATAGGTAAACGACTCACTTTGTTGATGATGTAAGTTGTCAGAGAGTACGTCATGCCGATGGAGGCCACACCGCCCAAGAAAAGGATGAAACGGATGGCATCGCGATAAAACTGGAAGTCCAGCGGCTTGGGGAACAGGATAGCTCTCACCAGATCACCCTTGGCAGTGTTGTACCCTGGGGGAAGGCATTTATTATAATAACAATGAATAATATACGATGAATAACAATGAATAGTATACAGCTTTTGTATGGCCCAAATTCACATTAAACAGCAAGCTCTATATGCTTTATAATCTACCTTATCATCTCAGTAGACCTGATTGCATTCTGTCTGTCTGTGTGACAACCTCTTTATGTACCTGCTCATAACTGTCGGGCTATTTGTTTATCTTCATGTCCACCTGAGTCTATACATCTGTCTATATTTCCATCATCAAGTAGTCAAGCCATCTGTTTGTCTGTCTATCTATCTACCTTTTCACTGTTCATCCATCAAGATACAGTTTTGTCTGTCTACCTTTTTATTACCGATAACTTAAGCCACTTTTCTGTCTGTTTACATTTCCACTATCAGTCAAGCCACTTATCTGTCTGTCTATCTATCTTTCCACTACTATCTATCAGTCGAACCACTTTTCAGCCTGTCTATCTATCTTTCCACTATCCATCAATTAAGCCACTTTTCTGTCTATCTTTCAACTATCTATCAGTTAAGCCACTTTTCTGTCTATCTTTCAACTATCAATCAGTCAAGCCACTTTTCTGTCTATGAATCTTTCCACTATCCATCAATCAAGCCATTTTCTGCCTATCTATATTTTCACTATCCATCAGTCAAGCCACTTGCCTGTCAATCTCAACTGCTCACTATAATACTCCATCATACGTCATTTTTTAAAACGGCATAAGGGCAGTCTTTCACTAAGCAGTCATTCACTATCCATCAGTCAAGCCACTTGCCTGTCAATCCCAACTGCTCACTATAATACTCCATCATACGTCATTTTTAAAAACGGCATAAGGGCAGTCTTTCACGAAGCAGTCAATCTATCTGACGACCAACATATCTTCAGTGTTACAAGCTATCTATTTAAGTCCGTCTGGACACTTTTTACATCAGAGACAAAAATATAGTTTTTGTTGCGATGCTCTTATCAGGAATCCAGAAAAGCAAGAAAAATATAAGCCTTGACCATAGCATTAAACTGCATTTTGGTGAGGCTGAAAGGTGCATCTTTGATACAACTTTGGGAGCGTGTAAAAAACGAAAAAAATTCTCAAAATTTGGATGTAAGTGGACTGGACTGCTTGAGACAGCCACGATATTCCTCTCGCAATAAGGAACCACACATCCTGTGTGACCAGCTACCCACCTGTGCGCACCACCACAGCCAGCACCTTCGCCTGTCCGTAGTAGCGTGTCTGCACGATGTGCGTGCCTGAGAACAAAGTGTGTCGCTTGTGAATCTCGGGGGAGTATATCTCTTCGTCCTCCTGCTGTGGCAACGGGGTCTTGGTCACCGGTACACTCTCGCCTGGAGAAGGGAGGCAACAAATGTTTAGTTTAGTTTAAATACGAGTTTACAGCACTTGCGACATAAACTGGTCATATAATGTGTTACGGTTTGTTTAAGTTGATTAAGTTTTAGTGAGAGTTTTACAGCACTAGCAACAATTTGGTCAAATGTATATGCTTCTCTCTCCTTACTCAAATAAACGTACATACACACTTGCACAAAGCACACACGATAGACACGAACCAGTGAGCATGCTCTCGTTCACAATGCACGTCCCTGCTGTCAGCACCGCGTCGCACGTCATGACACAGCCGTTGGGAGGAATCGCGATGACGTCACCTGGGACTAGCTCGTGCTCTGCCTTCACCACAAACTCTGGAAAATCACAAAAATCATATTATCATGGCAATATTTTTGGCATGGTAAAAAAAATTTTTATCTTTAATTTCAAACATTTGTTCATTAACCTGGATCAAACTTTATTGCTCATTTCCTTAAAAATTAAAATATTGCAATTCTTTGTGTTCATTTAGTTTAAAAGCTCATTTAATTAATCTTGTTCAAACCTTAATATTCTCTTTGTTCAAACTTTAATTCATCTATTATCTATTTGTGGTTGCTGATTTTGCTATTCAAAAGGCTTTTTAAAGGCTGCATCGATCGACATGCGGTTTTGGCCAAAAGATTTTTACAAATATTCTCCAGCTCACGACGCCCTTCTTTTTATCAGTTTCGAGACAGTTTTGCAGCTAAAAACTAAATTTCTTGATTTCACCGATCGCTTTTGTTGGCCGACACTTCTGTCTCTGTCATTTTAGAAAAGGAGGTTTCCGTTCACTAACCGTGCGCACTATTTTGAGAGTATAGATCTAAACCTTCTAATTTTTGCACCTCTCAGGATTTGTTCCATTCCGGCAGAATGTAAATATCATAAGCCAATGACTTTCGGCTGACCTTAATGCACCGATCATTCCTTTCATCGAAAGGGGGCCCAGCTAGTTACTTTATAATTTGGTTAAAACATTAATATTCTGTTCATTCATCTAGGGCAAACTTTAATTTTCATTGTGTTAACTTCTTTCAAATTTCATATTTACTTCCTTAATATAGTTTTAACTTTAAACTTTAATATTTTGTTCATGGTTCATTAAGTATATACGGAAATTAAATTCTAGATATCTATAATGAAGATACTGCAATTTAACTGACCTAAACTTCCAAGTCACAAAGCAAAAAAAGACATAAAACAAACTGTGGGGTTCCCTCACCTTGTGCGCTGGTGCAGACCTGCATGGTACCCTCCTGTGTGGCCACCATGTTCCTCAGGGTTACCCGTTGCTAGAATTCAGTGGGGAGGGGGGACAGAAGGAGCCAGGGAGGAGCAGGGTAACAAGAGGAGGGAATGGAAGGATGGAGGGAGGAGGGAGGAGGGAGGGAGGAGACAAAACACAGCACGTTCAGAAAAACCTAGAGTCATTCATAAAAACAAATCTTTAATCTAATCCATCTTTGGGGAGGGAGCTTGCTGGCTTGTCTCATCAGGGCCATTCCATACTGAGTGGGAATATAACATCCAAGCAGAAATACTGCACACCCTTTAACCCTTAGCTCCTAGGGCTACCGTGCCCCTCTGCCCAAGCTCCTGAGCAACATATTACTAACATCCATAAGATCACCAGAATCACTTACCATATCCCACTCAGAGTAGCCCTCGTCATTCCCAGCATCCAATTTAGAAAATATCTTCAAAACAATCAATAACATCCTGCGTAGTAAACACTGTTAACTTTGTGCATTTTGTCCCAGGCTGGTTGGGTTGGATATAAGGGTCTCACTCACCGGTGTACCGGTGGCTAGGAATACGGGCAGTTTCACGTGCCACCAGTCTACCGGTGGCAGTGGCTCAAAGGGTTAAAACAGTGAAAACATGTCTTCAGCGCCCTACAGACGTCAATTTTGACTACGTTGGTTTCCCACTCTAACCGTGTATCCACCAAACTGGGTCAAACACTAGTAAAGTTCTCCTCCCTTCAAGAGGAATCGAACCTGTTGTAAGAAAAACAAAAACTGACCAGTATGTCTGAATATTGCAAAAACTGTTATTAATGACAACAGTATTCATTAAGGGAAAACAGTATTCCCATTTTCCCCCCATTTTCCCGGTTGAGTGGGAACCTTGCGACTAGTATGTTTATAACAAAATTGTCATAAACATGAAACCATCCCTCGGACAATATATTTATAAATAAGCACTGTATTTAAACAATGTGAACCCCAAAAATATGACAAGGAAGGAATATATAGAGCACTCTGATGTTGAGACAAAAAAATCTAGCTTTGGCTACCGATCCCACCTTTCTGGTTTCTCGGAGGGAAATCCCAATGGAGAGGCAGGAGATGGCAAAGATACACGAGGCGTAGTAGTAATAGGAGTCAAAGGACCATAGGATGATGCTGGCAATCTGGAAGATGTAGAACGGGTTCAGCACCTGAAAAGCAAAAGGTTCTTCTGAGAATACATTTATTTTTTGTTCCCCAAATGAAATATTGGTGTAAAAATAGGCGTTTCTCACACCCCCATCAACACAACTTAGATCATTAAGGAGGCGGGCTTCCGGCCCAGCCTGTCGAGGCCAACCTAGGCTGAAAAGGAAGCAACATTCCTGCAGAAAAACTGAGGTACTCGATAAAGAAGTCTCCCCACTCGAGAATCGAGCTCGTGTCTCCTGTGTGAGACAGCAAAGTGCCTAACCACTACACCAAAGGCACCAGTACAAAAGTTTCAAAACATTTGAGATCTAAGGATGAGAATCTTATGAGAATAACTACTGTAAGGTGGAAGAACTTAGGTGAAAAAGCCCATTCTTTCCATGCTACTTAGATTTGGAACTCCCTCTATTCACATTGACCACAAAACCGACAGACACAATATTATTATAGGGACAGTCAGAAAACCTTTCTCCAGTGTACATTTTACTCAGACAGACATATAAAAATAGAGAACATTCTTCAGTGCATACTGACCACAGACAAACAGACAGACATATAGAAACAAACTGAGAACCTTTCTCCAGTTCAGGCTGACAGACAGACAGACAGACAGACAGACAGATAAACAGACAGACAGAGACAGAGAAACACACTGACCAACAAGCACACTGACACACTACTCAACATAAACCACTCACTTCACCAATGAAAAGTGACCAATAGCTGGGCACCTCAATCTCCATCGTGTTTGGTCCATACAAACACGACCTGCACGAAAAAATATATAAAATTTTAGAACTTGTCATCATTGACCTTGATCACCTCCATCAAACCAATTCATATCAATTAGGAGGCACTTTATGCACCCACAAATGATACAGAAGTAGTAAGTACAGGCAAATTCTACAACCAGTTTCGTAGTGCAGCCGCTGATTGGGTGGCATGCGCCACATGTAGTGTTTAATAATAATAAGAGATTCACGGCACTTGCAACACAATAAAGTCATATAAGTACCGAAGATTATATGTTTTACAAGAGAGAAAAAAAGAAAGAGGAGAGATAAGGACGATAGATGTTTGATAGGAAAGAAAAAGCAAACCACTCCAGAGCACCCGCCATCACCCACACATGCAGTGTGTACCTCCACCACGCCACATTTGTTTAGTAAGGGCAGTACAACTCAGGCAGATGACAGGTTAATTCAATTATGCTCATATTCATGTCTTGAATAAAGCTGTGATAAGTCTCGTGGAACGTGTACATACATAATTTGTACGTATGTACATACATGTGTATGTAAACACACGCACACACACACATGCGCGCATGCATGGGTGCTCGTGCGCACGCCCGCATTAACACCCTTCCGCACACACTTATGCACGCGCGCACACACACACACATAAATACATACAAAGAGTTACTCCCAGTACACACTACTCACAAAAGCATACATACACACAGACTTATACTCAACATACAGCTAAACACACACATACGCACAGCTACCTACAAACATACATACCCATACACACAGCTACAAACACATAATCACACACAAAAACAAATCACCTGCTGGCTCTTTGGTCTCCCGTCAAGCCTTTGTACTTCTCATACAGGTCAAGACAAGCAGTACCAGTGGAGAGATCTCTGAAACAACAGAAAATGGCGAAATAAGCATTCATATCCCTGAAACAACGGAAAACAGTGAAATAAGCACTCATATCCTTAAAACAACGGAAATAAGTGAAAAAAGCACTCATGCTTAACTCTTCAATGGACACATATCTTCAGTGTCACTCCATAATTGCGACAAACATTTCAGTTTCTGGAGCGTTCCAAGAAAAACCCTTATTCGAAGATATAGACATTGAGGGCCATCTCACAATACAAGTGTGTTCTGTTCATTAGTTCCGTTCCTTCCTCCTTTTAAATGGGAAAACAGCTGGCTCACTTGTCTGTTGAAAAGACTATTTTGGTCTACTTCCACCGAAAATGCATCTTCTGACAGAAGGAGACAGACAGAAAGGCACATGCTCGCACACACACACACACGTACGCATGCATGCACACACACACACACACACACACACACACACACACACACACACACACACACAGCCAGAGCTGATCACTCAATTTTTCAAAAGGACCATTTGCTCTGCTCCCAGAGGCATTGGACTTTCTGGTAAGAGGAGACAGAGGCATACACACACACATATACGCACAGAGAGACACAAACAGACAGACAGACAGACAGACTCACACAAAGACAGAAAGATAAAAACAGGCAGACAGACAGATAAACACAGAGAGACAGACACGGACAAACACACAGACAGATAGAACTGACTGACTCAAGTCTTCAGAAGGACAGTTTGGTTTGCTTCCAGAGGTACAGCGTATTTTGATAGATGGAGAAAGACAGACAGACAGACAGACAGACAGAAAAACAGACAGAAACACAGACAGACAGACAGAAAAACAGACAGACACACAGAATTGACTCACTCAAGTTTCCGGAAGGACCGTTTGGTCTGCTCCCAGAGGTACCGTGTCTTCTGGTAGTCAAAGTACCGAAGGCCGCCATCCGAGTCGGACATCCAGGATGAGGACAGCAGCGTCCGGTCGTCGGAGAAGTCCACCGAGCTGGCGGTTGGGGTGGTAGAGGGCTCGGTGTAGCTGCCAACATTCTCACTGTTCGAACACATGGAGGGTAGAAAATATGAAGATAATAATAATAGTGAAATCAAAACAACAACAAAAATAAAATAATTTAAATGATGGGACTGTTATTCTTGGAAAGTGAAAATCGTGTTTTGTTTTAGTTAGTGTTTTACGGCACTTGCAACACAATAAGGTCATATAGGTGCCAAAGATTAGAGGTGTTACAAGAGAGTAACAAGCACAAAATAGAAGGTGGGGAGATAAAGACGATAGATGATTGATTGGAAAGAAGAAGCAAACCACACCAGAGCATCCGCCAACCTCCGACGGAAATCGTGCTCGCTGATAAAGAGAATATAGAGAACTCCCAATACATACTGGTGGAAGACAATGAATATTGCACAAAGGAGGTTAGCATACGCCAGGGGGTGGAGGGGTGGGGAGGGGCGGGATGGGGTGGGGTGGGGGCGGGGGGTAGTGGTTAGATCAACAAAATCCATGGTTCAAATTCACGTCAACGTACAGCGGGAAAGGGCAATATTATAGGTAGTGCACACAGAAATAAGTTCAGTCAAATCCTTATTTGATGTGCACAACTGCCAACTATTTAAAACCAACGCATCCCCCTCAAAACAAGATTATGCATATAATAATAATAACCATTATTATTATTTTTATTACTGTATGATGATTATAATTTTATTATCATATATTATTTTTATCATCACCATTATTATCATTATCACTATTATTATTATTATTATTATCATTTTTAATATTATCATTATTATGATGATGATTATTATTATTTTTATTATTATCATTATTGTTGTTATTATTATTATTATTATTATTATTATTATAACAATAGTCCGTCCATCAATATGTCTGACGATGACCAATTCATCCGCAGAACAGAATATTTCTCAAAACAGAATATAAGAATTAAAGTTAAAATGACTTGCAGCTTCTGATATGACCGATGAGACCAATTCTGGCTGAGAATAACCTCTACCACATCTTAAGTATTTAAAAGCCACTACATTTACACCTGTCTGACTTGTGCAAAGGTTTGCTTAAAGTCAAACTGAGATAACAAATACAAAACTATCATATCATAGTTCTCACGGGGATTTGCCAAACTGTTCTGCAAAATACATTGTGTATAAGTATAAGCATAAGCATTTACAAAATAGACACCTGTTGTCTGGCCCATAAGGAAGGACTGATAAGCATAACATTCTACTCACACATACATGATATAATTAGGCCTATGTGCTGGTTGAAGGACGAACTGTTATGTCCCATAAATTACAGCATTTATATTAACAATATAGAGCCTCTCCCATAAAATACCCCACTATTGAGTCTATCCTATCCCTTAAACAACGTGATAAAAAATATCTGAGTCTATTCTACAAATTACACCAGTAATAATAACAACATTTAAACTATCCCAAATATAATGTTTATTTTTTTAAATAACAGTATTCTGTCTGTCACATAATTGGCGCCACTAGAAAATAATATTTAGTCAGCAGTGCCATAAATTTCGTTACTAAAAAAATAATTCAATATTATCTTGTCTTTCGCAACAACAATGTGCATAGAAATACACACATACATTATATCACCATGACAACTATACACTAAATGCAGACACTGATCAAACAGAGCAAAGATTTTTTTACAAACCCGGCCAGTAAATAAAATCCGGGAAGGGGAAGGGGGGGAAGGGGGGCGAGGGGTGGAGTGCATTGTACATGTACACACTTAATGTACATGTATATGTATTTAAATGTTAATGTAAACAGCATGCAGTGTAAAAGGAAAAGGAAAAAGGAACCACCCATTCCTTTGTAGTACGATATTATCCAAGACTGTGCACTCTGGCGTTAGTACTCCGGTTCACTGTCGTGCACACCATTAGACTCAATTGGTCGCTTTTAAGGACAAGCGGGTTAACCCAGATTTCGGTGGTTTCTAGAAATCTTGACCTACACCAAAAGTGGGCATTGTTCTACCTGTAGGAGAAGTTCGGTTTCATTGGTTCGTATATTTGTTTGGTTACAAAGAAAACTTTCCTTGTCATTAAAAAAAAAATGAACAAGGGGCAAAAACTTTACCTTCGATTTTCTCAAAACAGCATTTTACGGGAAAGCCCCCTTGTGCTTAAAAGCGGCCAATTGGAAACCACAAGCAGGGCAAAGAGGGTAATATTATATTAATAATGTTAAGCGCGCATTCAACTTTAGCGACATTGGAGTTTTGTCCATCATCTGAGCGGCCATGGTACGCACAGGCGCAGTGATGGTTTTGTTTGGTTGGTTGGTTGGGTGGGTTTTTGTTTTTTGTTTAAAAAAAACAACATTTTTACAAATTATATTTTCTTAAAATAGAGATCAAAGAGCGGTGGCCGTGACAGTGATCGTCAAAGAATAGTAGCCTATATTTCAAGTCACTGGAGACACCCCATTAGTTTAAATCTAACCCCTATTTTTTTTTTTAAAGTGAAGTCTCATAATCTGTGGTATCGGTTGCATTTGCTCACGTTGAATTTTTTAAAGTGTTTTACGGCGCTCGCAACAGCATATGGTCATAATATGAGCACATGGGACATATTCAACATTTTCAGTTGGTAGGAAATTTTGAATTTTACGGGAGCCGACTTAAGATTACCAAGGGACCTTAAAAGGTGTGCAACTTTCACAGGCTACCTCCGAGATTGTTCGCCCTTATCCGAGAAGGCGAGGTGTAGATCTTTCCTACCATAAGATCAAGGGTGTGGCTGAAAGACATCAGTAAAGGGCCAAGGAGAAGTAGTAGAAAGGCTGCAGAAAGAGTCGCGAACCCAGAGGAGGGGGCAACAGGTGAGAGGGTAGGGGGAAGAAAGTGGAGACGAAAGCAGACGAAAGTACATTGCTAGAGCGCAGGAAAGGAGGAGGAAGGAGACAATTAATTTTAGAGAGAAAAATGTTTCCGTCGCTACCCGGATGAAAGGCGAACACCTTAACCTCTAGGCCACGAGAGCTGAAATATTTGGTTAAAATTTAAATTCTAACTGTTGAAAAGACAAGAAAAACTGCATACCAATGTAGGTAAAAAATAAAGTTATTCCCGCATCCGATCCGGACATTGGGGATTGCCTTGTTTGAGAGACAACTTCCTGGGCTTTCGGGATATTGCAGTAGGGTGGCCAGTTTCTTTCCACGGCGCCTTTACTTCCCCAACTCGAAGTCAGGTACCCATTACCGCTGGGTGGGCAGGAGGGGGCGAAAAAAATCCGTGTCCGAACTGAGGCTCGAACCCGGACTTTCCGCTTCGGAGACGAGCGCACTAACCACTCCGCCATCGCACCCTCAACAACGTATGTACAATCGTAAAAAAAAGAAAAAGGTTTGGGGTAGGGTGTTGTTGTTTTTTTATCTCTTCTGAAAAATGTAGCATTCTGGGCTAACTACGTTTTAACAGCTTGCCCAATACACGTTGAATTCGTGCGCTGGTGTGAAAAGGTGCGCTCACTTTTTTGTTCACAAGCAACAGCTGGTCACGCACACTACACAGGAAGCGAGATCGAGATGATACATTATGCATTGTAATTGCGGATGGGATCGTGTCGGTTCGGGTCGATCGCCCGATTCGTCTCCTAAAAAACAAGGCAACGAGGCGGGTGATCGGTTTGTGCCACGATAGCCGCTTTGCGCTCTCAATCCGGCTACCAATGCGACCCGACCCGACCCGATTGTGTTAACGGGCACCCAGTTAAAGAAATCGCGGTGAAATCAGGCGCTCGTCTAAGAAAACAGCCTCTTTCCATCAGTGAAGCAGTTTTCATCGGGGTTTTTTTTTTAGGGGGGGGGGGGGGGCTCAACACCTTTCACTTATTTTTTAAACACATTTCTGAGTGCATTTTGCTCAATTTTTAAAACTTTGATTAAAAGCACAAAGAAATGAAGGACTCTGAAACTATGAAAGTTACCAAACTTTGTAGGACATTTTCTCGATAATTTTACCTCTGAAACCAGGTTACCCCCATCTTTTTCAATCCGAAATAATATATTTCAACTTTTATTCAAGATGGATGGGCATTTTTTTTTCATTGGAAGATAGACAAATGAACAAGTTTTAAGAAGATACCATTAACTTCATATGCCCAAAAATTGACGGGAGAGGGAGCTATAGAAATTACCTACGTTGTTATTACTACTACTACTGTTATTATTATTATCATTATTATCATTGTTATTATTATTATAAATATTATTATAATGATCGCATGGCCCACACCGAATCACGTTCTGTAACTATGTATAACTTTAAAACTACTGTTGTAAGGCCCCTTTCCTCGTGACACACAGCGCTGTCATAAGAAAATCTTTTTTTTTAACCACCCGTGGGTCAACTGTCCTCAGTAGTGAAAAAAGATCATTCGGCCGTGCGACAGCGAGAGTACTCGCATTATTCGGTTAAGAGAGATTTATAATGATAACAATGACAACAGCATTCATTTCTTTTAAATTTCATGAACCCCTTGACCTGGCTCATGCTGAGTCACGTCTGGCCCGCCTGGTAACTCGGCCGTCCTGTGACCCAGAAAGAAAAAAAAAACCATTAAAAAAACCGTAGGTCAAGCAGTGTTTTTATAGAGTAGAGGGGAGAAAGCCTTTCTGTTGGCGTTCTTGGGGGGTTTTGGTTGTTGATTTCGTTTTGAATGTTGGCGTGTTTGTAGTTATTGTTGTTGTTTTTTGTTGTTGTCGGTGTTGTTTTGTTGGTTTTTTTTTGGGGGGGGGTAAGTGTTTTATGACTCTCGCAATTAACTGCGTAAGGTCAAATGAGCGCCTGGGACACATTGAATATTTTCAGTTGGTTAGGAAATTTCATCACATCCAGTCACTACATGTACCACTTAACAAAGCTATGCCAAAATATTCCAGGACATGACAATTTTTTTTTCTTTTCAGCAAATAATCTTATGGCTTCTCAACGGACACGCACAGACTTAATAAATTACTGTCGCAGCCGCTGCTCTT